GGAGTGAGGGAGCTGGGAGACTGTACTGCACAGGCTCTGACAGGCCTGATAATACAGGTACACACACACACATTCTCATGCACACAGGAGTGAGGCATGTCTGTGTTCAGCTGCAGAGCTCAGGATCTCCACAGCCTCCGGGCCCGAAGGAGCAGCAGGCGGTCCGCAGTCTGCTGGACACTCTGCAGGCGCTGGCTCCCTCGCAGAGCAGCCACAGGGAGACGCTGTATCCTTTCACTGAGGCACCGACACACCGTGCCTCCCGTCCGCCTGTGACCAGGCCTCTCCCCTCTCTCCCTGTCCTTAACCCGCCTGCTCCAGCTGTGTCGGGGGGGTGTCCGTCTGCCTGTCCCACTTCCAGGTGAAGACCCGCGCGCGCTGAGGGGGGAGCAGAGCTGGCCGGTGAGATCTGAAATCGACTCTGGCTGGTCCACCATCGGTCTGCTGATTTCCACAGTGTGCTGCTGGCTGTAGGGACCACTGACCCCGTCAGTCCACTGTCCACTGTCCGTTCAAAACAGAACTTTCACCTTTTTATTCCTCTCTCTGTTCTGTAAAACTGTTCTGAAAATGTGTAGGAGGAGGGGAGGGGGCCGTTATTTGCTTTGCTCTGTATTTCTGTTTTTTCAGGTTTTATACATTTTTAATATTTTTCACTTTGTGGCTCCTGCCATTTTCTTATTTATATACTACATTTGTATCATTTATGACAAATTTTATTTGTGCACAATAAAAATCTGTCGTTCCATCTGTCTGCCCGTGAAGCAATGAATCCTACGCACTTGTGTGTTTCCGGGGGGAAGCGTTTTTTCGCGCACCGGGTCCCTAAGAGCTGCGTACCACTATTAACGTTCCGTGTGGAAACCGCGTCATCATTTACCTCTGAGCTGTCATTTTCTAGTCTCGGCAGTACAGTAGCGCCTGGGGCGAAGATTCCTAAGTATCAATTATACATGATACTCTAACACGAGGTTGGATGCAGAGACGGCGATACTGCATCTGCGAATCTGAATATCGGCTCTTCAGTTTTGTTCGCCCTGCGTCCCCCCCGGCTCGGAGAAGGTGAGTGTGTGCCTGGTTCCTGTAATGCAGTTACAATGCCTTCTCATGCATCTTGCTCGGTCGGGAAGCCGGCTGGTTGAAGTGTAAAGGTGCGAGATTAGTCCCGCAGGAGAAGCCTTCTCGCTGCTTTAATTCCTGACCCGATGAGAGCCGAAACTGTCTCGGCTCGCATTGACCTGACCGCCGCACGGTTTCGGCTCCGGTCGTCCTTTTCCTCTGTGAAGTGGCTTCTTGCAT